TTCTCTTCTCTTCTCTTCTCTTCTCTTCTCTTCTCTTCTCTTCTCTTCTCTTCTCTTCTCTTCTCTTCTCTCCTCTCCTCTCCTCTCCTCTCCTCTCCTCTCCTCTCCTCTCCTCTCTTTTCTGTCCTTCTTGTTCCTGATACATCTTCAACTTCCTCCAAATGCCAGAAATCACGACTGCATATTGAGGGGCTTATTTAAATCACAGGTGACCAAACTTCTGAAGAGATAAAAATTGAAGTTGGTTTTGGAATGGGGTGATCAGATTCAGAATATAAAGCCAAAAAAATATTAAACTAAACATTTTAATTAAACTAAACCTGTTAGTCTGATTATCACAGCAGTGACTTCTGAGAAGACGCTCAGCGTGGCTGCTTCCTTTGGTCTTGATGGACCTCTGTAGGTACAAGATCATAGACTTTTCCATTACATGGTTGCAATGAATGGCTTTGGACAAAATGGAAATTTATACTGGTGTACACAGAAACACATTTTCCCATGATGTTGTGAGGCTTTCATGGCTCTTGAGAAGCTGAAGTGATGAACTGTGAAAAAGAAACACTATGAATATGGTTTTGCAGCATTTCCTTTAGAGGTGTGGGACAGTTCATGTCCCATTGGTGAGAAATTTCAGCACCAAGTTCCTGAACTTCTCCCTGCCATCTGCCATCAGAACACAGTGATATTTTGCATTGCCCATCTCCATCCTCTCCTGTTGCTCTGAGGGATGACCCTGCCACTCCCACAGCACAGTGGCCAACTGGGGATTTTTAGTCTTTTTCCCTCTCATCACAAAAAGCACAAGAGTGGGGTGTCTGTTGGCTACCAGGTTTTGTACCAATGGGATAATGGAGCACCAGAATGAAATCTCATTGAAGGCTCAGAGGGATGATGGAGCACAGGAGTGAGGGCACTGGGCAGTATTGTTGAGCTGTTGAAAAGGGTAAGATGGGCAAGCTTTGTGACTCAGGGCAAGTTCCCCAACTTTCAACCTTCCAATTGGATTACTTTATTTAAACTAAACTGCATAACTGGGTGTAGTTTGTCAGTTGAAGGTAGCACAATTCCAATGCATTGTGTGCCATCAAAGATTCTAATCCTAATTTATGACTTTACAGGAACTGTCTCTTCGGGTGACGGTCGCACAGTGCTGTGAAGATGGAAGAGCTGAAAATATTGGTCATGTTGTCATAGGACCAGCTGCAGGAGGCATGGGCATCACTCACTGGAATCAAATGTTGGCTACCTTGAGAAAACCTATATCCATGTGGCACGCACTTCGACAAAGCTAAGGGATTACCTGCACCTCACCGAAAATAATCCAACATGGTGCTTAAATAAATAAATAACTTCAGTAGGCCGATGCTGTTGGAACAATGAATTTGTGAGACCATGGGAGGTTTTTTTTTAATCTAAATATTCCTCACAAATAATAGCAAGGACAGATGATTATGTGATGATGTGTTGCCAAATGAGACTACCCAAGCCTTGGAAAAGAATCATAGCTAAAACAACAAGAGAAGGAGATATATAAATACAGATGGATGCCTAGTAGCTGGTGGACAAATAAGGTAGTCTTTTGATTCCGTCATTCTAACATCATCAACTTGGACAGCCAATTATTCTTGAAGTTCTTTCATACTGAGTCTTGCTTTTCCACATTATTTTTCTCTATTGAAGAAGACTTAAAAGGAAAGCTTATGGTATTTTATGCATTTGACATCCCCTGTGTTTCGGACATGTTGACTTGGAAGTCAGATTCTTGGGAGTGACTGGGTCCTGCTTGATATAAATGTATATGGATCACAATTTTATACTTCCTTTCTTCTCACATTTGTTGGGAATCAAGTCTTGATTATTTCAGATAAATTTGGGCAAAATTACTTCCAACTAAAGTTGCTTAAGTCACATTTTTGGGCAACCATTGTCACACGTGTCTTATCATGGTTGAGATTCAAGTACTGTTGTCCTGTTTGCCTGTTTTGGAGAAGAAAACTAAAAGGCTCATATTTGAGTAAATATTTGACAAAGTGAACTTTTACAAAGAAATATGTGCATCTTTAGATATATGGACCACTGCTTGCTGTAAAAATTCAACACATTTGCTTTGAAGATTCATGAATCTTTCTCCTCTCTAATCTAATCCTCTAATCCCCAAAAGCACAGCACCATCACAGAGATGACTTCTGCTCATTCAATTCCCTCCTGGCCTCTGGCGTGGTCCTGTTTAGTTCCAATGTCCAATAGGAACATTATCGTCACAGAGGATGCAATATTGTGCTTATCTACCGTGGTGTAAATTCACTGGGCCTTATTTTATACATATGGTATAGAATTGAATAACCAATGGACTTTTCCTTCCCCTTTTCACCATTTATGAGCAATTGGAGACCAGCCTGTCTATAAAATGTGAATGCTTTATTTAATTATTTTATGTGTGCTTGATTTCAAAAAGCAGTTGAGATCATGTAGAAGAGGGGAAGTGGAGTGGATACAGATGTATCATGCATGACAGAACCATCCTTAATATTGGAAATTTGACTGGGTGATTTGTAATTCAAGGCCACATCAGTCGTAAGACTTTAAATATTTGTATTTTGAGAAATAAGGAATGGCAGTGTGAAAAATAAAAATAAAATTGAGCAAAACAAAAAGAAATTCTATGGCAAAATATTTCATGGTTACTGAAAACGTTGTGGATGATGTATTTGCACCCAGTAAGTCACTTTTGTGAAATGGGTGGCTATATAAATTTGATAAATAAGTAAATAAAAGTAAATAAAAAATCTCTTATTCATTGTAAAATTTGTAAAAAGAATCTAGGAACATCAACAGGATAAAAAAATCTTAATCTTACAAACAACTAAGCCGTCTTCTGATATAGTTTCTAGGCAATCTTTCATCTTTTTGACCCTCGTGTAGTAATTTTGTGAACGTCTGATTAGTTGGCTAGCTTTCCAGTTTGCAACTGATTTAAAATCTCAACAGTGACACATGCAAGATGGAAAGTAATATTCCCATATCTATATCAATCTTTATCACGTTTGCACCCCCATCCATCATATGATATCAAGAGTGTGCCAGTGGCAAAATCCCCGAGACTCTTTTTCCATGACACCCAGGGAAAACCATTTTTTCCTTCTTCCCTTTAAGGAAACACGGGTTTTACTGAGGTCATCCTGTCTTTATGGCTATTTATTTGTTTGTTTGTTTGTTTAAGGAATTTATATTGCCGCCTTTTCGCACATGGTGGCTTACAGAATACAAAACCCTGTATAAAAACAATAAAACTAATAAGTCATATAATAAATTAATATACTAAAATCATCCCCCACTCCAGGGACAGCACCTTACACAAGCCATTTAATGGGTTCCATCCCGCTCTGGGTTCCACAGGCCTTCTGGCAGAACCAGGTCTTCAGTGCCTTCTGGAAGAGTGGTAGCCATTCTAATATCTGTGAGGATGATGTTCCAGAGAGAACAATTCACATTGACTAGACAATCAGCTTGTCCTATTACCTCTATTTTATTTAGCCCAGCTCAAGAAATAGCCAGCTTTGAATCTGGATTTGCTGGGATACTACACAGAACTTCCTAGACTAGCTCCCGGATGAATTCAAACTTGATCTCCTTGTAATGGAACAGAAGGTCTTTTTCAATTCATGGACTACTGGAAGCTCAGTCCAGCATGGGATAACTTCACAACTGGCATGTTGTGAGGCAGAGCATGTATTGCTTTAGCTGCCCAGCTTTGGCTAAGGATCTCCCTCTGAGTTCCAGAGCAAAGCCTTGCTAAATATGTTCAGAATTCATGAATGGTGAGGACAAAATGGGGGAATCCCAGGAGGAATTGGAGAGGCATTGGGAATGGTTTGAAAAATGCCATGAATAGTGGTGTGGAAGAACCCATGACCTATTTATGTAAATCGAACCCCATGGTCCAAAGAAACAGTAAAATATATTTTTAAGCTCCTTCCAGCTCTTAATACTTACTGATCAATATTTTAAAAGCAAGATTTCCCTCAGGGCAAACCTTTAATTCTTGCACGTGACAAATAGCTTGTTTTTAGATGGATATGCCATGCATTTTTATAGCACTCAGAAATGGCATCTGACTTCTTTACCAGAAAATTATATAATACATACATACATAAAACTATCTATAATTACATAAAATTATCTATTGCAATGTCCTACCCGTCAATGACTACTTCAGCTTCAATCACAACAATTCAAGAGCACACAATAGGTACAAATTCAAGGTAAACTGCACCAAACTCGATTGCAGGAAATATGATTTTAGCAGCAGAGTGGTCCATGCCTGGCATACACTACCTGACTCTGGTTTGTTCTCCAAACCCCCAAAACTTTATCCTTAGACTGTCTACTGTTGACCGTATTACCCCTTTCCTAAGAGATCTGTAAGGGGTGTGCGTAAGCACACCAATGTGCCTACTGTCCCTGTCCTAATGTTCCTTTTTATTCGTATCCATTTCATGTATTCATAATCATGTTTACACTTACACATGTTATCTAATACATGCTTGACAAATAAATAAATAAATAAATAAAAGTTAAAAAATACATCTCTTCCCATGCTACCAAATAATGGTGAGGATCCCCGCAAGGTGTAAATTCTAGAAAAGTTGTTCTCTCTTGCTGCCCAGACAAGACTTTTACCAGCTGTGCCTCTAAGGAAAAACATGGCATTCAATAAAGGTAATTTAAGCATCTCCTGTGAATAGTATCTAGGGAACAGGCTATTTTAGCATAGAGAGAAGCTGCTGCTGACAGTGTAAAGATCTTTTCAAGGATTAGTTTATACAGACAATGAATCTTCTTAGGAAACAGATTTCATGTAGTAGGGGAAAAATTCTAAAACAAAGCTAGATAGGAAATAGAACTTGTTAAAACTAGGGACAGATGCTTTAAACAAGTGAACAAGCAGCTCTACAAGCAAAATCCTTGTTTGTGTTCTTGTTAATAATCAGACTGGGATGTTTCAATTTGGATTCCTGCACTTCACAGGAAGTCTGATTTGATGGACTAAGTAACCTCTTCCATTTCTGAAACTAGGATTGTTTATAGGCAACATATTTGACATGAGGGAACTTTTACTGATACGTTGCTAAGACCTGTATTCTGAAGCACTGGTGTGCTGTGGAGAGTGGAGGTAGTTATTTACACATGCTTCTGAACCTGTAATAGATCAATGAATGTACAGATGTTGTATGTTATGTTCTCACAATGAGACATTAATATAGGGTTAGTAACTTTTCATATACGCAGATGGGCTGGTGCAAGCAGGCGTTCCTGCCTCACCTTCCTTCCAAACGCTCTACAATGAAATTAGCCAACTGGGGTAATCTTGGTGAAGGAAATTTTCGTGGAGATAATGTATGTGGTTTCTAACAGGCAACATTGACTTGATGACATATAATCAGTCAGTTAGCAGAGAGACCTTCCTTAACTGGTGCTTCTCTCAGGAAGAAGCCCTCTACCAAATGTTGATGGGCTATCTCCCCATATTCCTTCTGCACTACAGCCTACCTGAATCAGGGTGGAAAATTACCAGAAAAGTATTCTTATCATTAGCAGAAGTTCCCTAGCTTATATCGCAGACATTATAGATGTTGCTTAATATGATATTGTGAAAATCAGGAAATCTGCTGAATCTAAGTCTAAGTATTATGACCTATGAACTAGATATTTTCTGTAAACAGCTTATGGCGACCGCGGCAGGACACAAGGGGCCCTGAGGCCCACTGGAGGGTCCACCCCGGGTGCCGGTGCATCGATGAGTTGAAGGGAATATCCCAGGCGCCAGGTCCTTTGAATCCGAGGGACTTCCCAATACTGCTGTGTTCTGGCAATGGCGGTTGACACCTCCAAGAACCACTGGTAAAGGGTAAGGAGACCAGGACATATTTCAGCTGGCCAGTGGAGAAGGAACACGCCTGCAGGCAAGTATTGGACTTGGGAAGCAATCCCTCCCTGTAAGCAGGGACGGAGGAGAGGACTGATCACCCTCTCTTAAGCAAAGGTGGGAGGACTTGTCAGGAATGGTTGAGGTGAGCGGCTACTGCAGTTCCCATTGGTGACTGTGAGTGTCCAGCACCGTGGGCCAGTAGGAGGTGAGTGGCATCCACAGTTCCCATTGGAGACTGTGTGCACCCAGCTCCCTGGGTCAGATATGAGTGTGTGGAACCCCCTGGTGTTACCAAGAGAGGAAGGACCCCATACCTTCTTCTCTAATCCCTCTTCCCAGTTGTTTTGTCTGGTGACCTGGGTGGCTCATGGGAGGTGGAGAAAGTGTGCCCCTAACCCCATTGAGGTGTATGCTGAAACATTTTAAGGAAGCATATGAATCTCAGGACTATGGTCTTAAGTGGAGTAGACATAAACTGCAGGTGTTTTGTAAGGGAGAATGGCCAACATTTGCAGTGGGGTGGCCAGCCATAGGTACTTTAGACACCTCTATAGCAATACAGGTTCATCAGTTAGTATTCCATCCTACGTTAGGACACCCAGACCAAGCTCCTTACATAGATGTTTGGCTTGACCTATTAAACCACCCTCCAGCATGGCTTAGAAAATTCAAAATACAATGGTGCAGGCTCCTAGTGTCACGAACTTTACCACTGACCAAACTAAAGAAATCCACCCCAGTCATGCCTAGCTGCTCAGAAGAACTACCGCATCCACCCCCATACGTGCCCCCTCTTGGCTTAAGAAGGATGTCAGATGAGGGAGAATCCTCTGGGGCATCAGGATTAATAGCCCAACTAGACCGGATATCCCCCCTCATGAGAAGCCCTGGGGATCCACCAGATACAATAGATCGATCAGCCCAAGCCAATCTTTCACCCCCGGGGACTTCTGCCCAGGTAGACCCCCAGGTAGACCCTAAACAAGAGGCTGAACCGGTGGCAGCAAGGACAAGAGCCAAAATAGAACATCCCTGACTGCACCGCTTAGACAGGTTGACCAGCTTGTAACAGATCATGAGGACCCCACAGCATTGGTCACCTTACCATTGTTCCAACATGTACCATTCACTACATCAGGTCTACTTAACTGGAAACTACACTATGGTCCCTTTAGTGAAAAACCTACAGAAATAGCAGATTTAGTGAAAACTATAGTGGACACACACAATCCTACTTGGATGGATCTCCAACAACTTATGGGGACTCTGTTTAATCTGGAAGAAAGGGAAAGATTATGAATGCAGTAACTGATATATTAAAACCTGATGTCAGGGCAGATGGAAATCTAGCAGCACATGTTGAGGCCCACTTCCCATCCCAAGATCCTAAATGGAGTCCTTACCAGGATATGGACCATCTACGAGATTACCAGTCAGTGGTTGTGTGAGCCATCCGAGTAGCAGGGAAGCCTTCAGTGAATATGTCAAAACCTTCCCTGGTGTTGCAGGAGCCCACAGAAAGCCCCGAAGCATTTTATGCCCGCCTTATTGACGCTTACCACATGTACACTCCCATAGATCCTACTGATCAGGCGAATGCCTGAATGTTAACAATGGCATTTATCTCACAAAGTGCCACAGACATACGCCGTAAATTACAAAGGCTTGAGGGAGCACTAGGTAAGCCCATGAGTGAGCTAATGGAGGTGGCACGGAAGGTTTTTGTAAACAGGGAAAAAGAGGAAGAGCGGAAGAAAGATCAAAAGATGCAAAGAAAAGCTGAATTAATGGCGGCAGCTATGATGTGGACCCCAAAAGATAGAGGAGGCAGCCAAGCAAGGGGCAACAGATCTGGGTTAGAATGTAACCAGTGTACTATTTGTAAGGAGGAGGGACACTGGAAGGGTGAGTGTCCAGAAAGGAACAAAGAAGAGAGGCTAGATGGAAGAAGAGGGAATTTCCAAGGAGGCTTCCGAGGACCCCCGAGAGGAAGCCGGGGAGGGCAAGGTTACAGGAAAGGATTTGAAAGAACCCCTCTCATAGGCTTGGCAGAGGTGGAAGAATGGGACTGAAACCGACCGGGTTCAGATTGCCTCCGAGAACCTATGGTCCAGCTAAATGTAGGAGGCAAACCTATTACCTTCCTAGTAGATACTGGAGCCACAAGGTCAGTCCTAACCCAGCCCCTAACCCAGGCCTCCCCCCACACTATTAACATCCAGGGGACAACAGGAAGTATTTTACAGCACCCCTTTTTGGAGCCCCTCGTTTGCACAACTAAAGGACAAACCATAACACATCAATTTGTGTATATGCCAGACTGTCCTATCCCACTCCTGAGGAGGGATTTGTTGTGCAAACTTCGAGCTCAGATCTCCTTTGAAGAGGATGGAACAATGACACTGGGATATGGGAAGATAAACGTAACAATACCCAGAGAAGAAGAGTGGAGGTTGATGGTGGCCAGGGACAAGGGGCGGGGAGATGAGGATGAATGGAAACAATTCAATGTTCCACATTTGTGGGCTGAGGATAACCCCACAGGCTTTGCCAGTCAACACCCTCCCATCATAGTGGAAGAGCTACCAATGAAAGTGCCTGTCAGAATCTGACAACAGGCATACCCCAGGCATATTGTCCAAGCAATTCAAGAAGTTATTGATCTATACTTGAGATACCATATTCTGGTGCCCACCGAATCCAAATGGAATACCCCAATATTGCCCATTCCAAAGGGGGAAGGTAGGTTTAGGCCAGTTCAGGACCTCAGGGTCATTAATTTGGCTACTGTAACCATCCATCCGGGGGTCCCAAATCCATATGTCATTTTAGGCTTGATCCCCCAGACTGCCAGGTGGTTCTCAGTCATAGACTTAAAGGATGCTTTCTTTACAATACCTATACATGAGAGCAGTCAACACTTATTTGCATTTGAGTGGGAAAGCCCTTTAACTGGTCGGAAGCAACAGTATACATGGACCAGGTTACCCCAAGGGTTTAAAAACTCACCTACCCTTTTTGGGGCTGCCTTAGCTAAAGACCTAGAAGCTTTGATTACACCCCCTCCTGATGTGGTGTTGCAGTATGTGGATGATCTGTTGATTACCGGTCGCACAAAAGATAATTGCTGGAAAAACACACATGAGTTGTTACTCCTATTGCAAGACCTGGGATATAAGTCCTCTAAGAAAAAAGCATAGTTGGTTTTAGAAAATGTCCGATATTTGGGCTATGATATAGAACAGGGGAAGCGTACCTTAGGTCATGAACCTAAAGAGGCTATATGTCAGCTCCCGACACCTAACAACAGGAGACACTTGAGAGGGTTTTGGGGAGCCACAGGTTTTTGTCGTATCTGGATCCCTAACTTCAGCCTAACTGCCAAGCCCCTTTATGAAGCTACCAAAGGACAGGATAAGGAGCCGCTACAGTGGGGAACACAGGAAGCCACTAGTTTCTGATTGCTCAAGCAAGCACTGTTGCAAGCCCCCAGTTTAGGCCTCCCGGATTTGAATAAACCATTTCAATTATTTGTAGATACTAAACAGAATGTAGCAGTGGGTGTCCTCACCCAGACAATGGGAACATGGCATCGCCCTGTAGCTTATCTCTCTAAACAGCTGAATAACGTTGCAAAAGGATGGCCTGCGTGCCTTAAGGCTGTGGCTGGGACTGCTTTCTTAACCCAGGAAGCAAGTAAACTGACTTTTGGACAAGAGCTTGACATTTATACTCCCCATGCCCTTAAAGCAGTTCTGGAAACAAAGGGCCATTTGTGGCTAACCAACCCCCGAATGCTAAAATACCAAGGCTTAATCACTCATAACCCTATGATTAATATTATACAATCCACTGCATCAAATCATGCTACATTATTGCCTGAACCAAACTCAGAAACCATTCACGATTGTATCCACACAACAGAGGAAACATACGCCAGCCGCCCTGACATGACTGATGTACCCCTTCCTTCTCCGAATTACACCTTATATACGGACAGTACCAGCTTCATACAGGAAGGAATTAGACAGGCAGGGTATGCGGTGGTTACTTTGGATGATGTTTGGGAAGCAGAACCCCTCCCTTCAGGCACGAGTGCGCAGTTAGCTGAATTGCATGCATTAACTAGAGCTTTAGAGCTGGCAAAAGGCAAATGTGTCAACATATATACAGACTCTAAATATGCTTTCCTCATGGTTCAAGTCCATGGTGCCTTATATAAGGAAAGAGGACTTATCACTGCAGGAGACAAGGATATTAAGTATGGCCCCCAGATACTACGCCTCCTAGAAAGTGTATGGGCCCCACAGAAGGTTGCAGTCATACACTGCCGAGGACATCAAAAAGTGGCCTCTGATATACAAAAAGGCAACAATAAAGCAGATAGAATGGCACGAGAGGCGGCTCAAAGGGCTCCAACAATACAAGCACAATGCCTTACTGTATGGACGCCACACAAGCACCACCAACCACGATTACTCCCAGGAAGACATGAACCAAATTGAAGCACTTGAGGCTCAACTGGAAGGAGGCTGGTGGATCCTACCAGACAACTGGGTTTTCGTGCTGGGGCATATGGCTTGGGACATAGTACAGCAAGTATATAAGCAGCTGCACCTAGGAAAAACTGCTTTAGCAAAGGCTTTGCAAAGGGAAATTTATATTAGCAAAATACACAGCATTGCAGCAAATGTCTGTGCCAGGTGTGAAATTTGTGCAGCAAATAACCCTAGACAAGGGCCCCTACCACCACCAGGCTATCAACCAAGAGGCAGTTACCCATTTGATTCTCTTATGATTGACTTCACAGACATGCCCTACTCTGGCTACTACAATGCACTGCTAGTCATTGTATGTACCTACACAGGATGGCCTGAGTGTATCCCTACCCACACAAAGAAGGCTACTGTCGTTGCCAGAGCACTGCTCCACATCATAATCCCTAGATATGGACTATCTTCTAGAATTTCATCAGACAATGATCCTGAGTTTATCCACAAGGCCACTCAGCAACTAGCTAAAATGTTGGGTATCACTTGGAAGCTCCATTGTAGCTTCCATGCCCCCTCTGGAGGCAGGGTTGAGAGAGTTAATAGAACTATTAAGGAAAAATTGGCCAAAATATGTCAGGAAACCCACCTTAAATGTCCAGATGCTTTGAGTTTGGCTCTGGTTGCTGTCAGGTGTGCTCCTCAGAAAGGTGTCTCACTTTCACCATTTGAGTTATTATATGGTCGGGTCCCCAATCTACTTTGTCTAAATATTCAAAATACTGTACAGATTTCTGATACAGTTAGAATGCAACAATTACAAGCTCTTAATACAATAGTCCAAAGATTACAACAATATGTATTAACCTGTAAACCGCATGTCCTAGTGACCTCCCCTCATAACATACATCCAGGACAGGAGGTCTGGGTTAAAGATTGGAAGAGGGAAGTATTGAGCCCAAAGTGGAAAGGGTTGTATACTGTTGTTATGTGTTCTCCCCTTGCTGTTAAGGTAGCTGAAATAAAACCGTGGATTCACTGGTCTCTAGTTAAGTTGGCTGCACCTACCCAGTGGAAAGTAAAATCCCACCCGACTCATCCATTAAAAGTAACTCTCCGAAGGACTATGTGGGATATCTCCCCTTCTGGTGACACTCCGGAAGCTGTCCTTCTACGAATGGGAGATGAAGAGAAACAGACCCCTGCAGGTGTTACCCTGGAAGCTAACACCCGACGCACGGGTCTCCCCTGGAGACTTCGATTACAAGCACACCTAAGGATTGGAATTCTTTAGAAAGGGGGAAATTGGTGGTGGTGGGAGACATACCCCATTGCAATATGGAGGCTAATCAAAGGATGTGGGAGACCGCATGCATCTGCAGAGGCCTTATGCCCTCCATCTGGATTGTAACCATCCTGTTAGTAATAAGTGTTGTCCTTAACTTCATGTACTTATATGAGGTGCTAGTGGCTAAGAAAGGTAATACAAACAAATACCCCTCGATAAGGATGCAGTTGATGAGTGGTATTCACCAGACCCCACTGACCTGGAGGAACCCCAAGACCTGGAGGAGGGCCAGGATAAGGGAAGGGAAATCAGGCCATGTGATATGTGTTTTATGGTACTTCCCACAGGAAGACATTTTACTTATAGTGTAACCAGGTTTCCTAATTGTTCCACTACTAATCTCCCTCAGTGTGAGCATGAGGGAACTAGATATTGGCAGTGCGTGTACAACAACACAGTAAGATGTCATCTTCTGTGCACTCCATGGGTACCCATTAGGCATGTCAGCATACCCCGAAGTACAACAGATAAAGGAAGTCTGCCTAAGGAAAAGGCATTTGCAGGATTAGCTACATGTACTCAATGCCTAACTAATGAAGGGGCTCTACATGCCAGGACTAGGAAGCCAGATTCATGTGTTCATTTCCATTTACCCTCCTGTGCATATGGCCAAAAGACATATAAAAGGTGCAATGGGACGGAGGGAGTTTTATGTTATAAAGAGGATCTACCATCAATCTTTCAAAGTGAAAGGCGAACTGAAAGATCAAATGCTCCAGCTACCAAAACTCCCTTATGCCCCAACAATTGCACAGTATGTATTAAATCTGTGTTGAAAGGGAGAACAGTTACCATGACCTTGGTGTATCATGCCCATTACAGATGTGAGGGAAAAGTAACTCCTTGTTGCTATAAAGGAACCTGGTACTCTATCTATGCCCAGAAGGATGAATGTTATGACCCCAGGATTAATCCAGCACAGACACGGTTGGTAGTTAGAAGCAGAGGTTCGAGTAGTGGCCTGATCATTTCCCAGATGCAGATATTGTCAGCCACTAGCCCAGGTACCATTTTGTTTGATGTCTTCCCAGTGGCCCACTTCCTGCGGGTCTTGTCATGGCACAGAACGTATACTCAATCTGATGTTTATATTTGCCTTTATAACCACCCAGTAGGGACTTGAAAAGGGGACTGTAGAAACATGGATGAGAGATTCTGTCCAACCTGGGATTGTGTTGCATGGTCCACTTATGCTTCAAATAAGGGCAAGGGAACTTATCTCCAGATAACAAGGGTACATACGTTCACAAATTGTATGCTATATCAATGTAATTATGTCAACATTACTATACCTAACCCTCAGCAATGGATTTCCAGATATGGGTCAACAATGGGAATTAGATTGTGGGCACAAGGCTCTGATCCGGGAGCTATCATACACCTGTCTCTGGAAACCAGGTATCACCCTACTAGAAACTATACTGGATATTTCTCTGAATTTTGGAAGAAAGTTGATATCGAGTTTCAACCATCCCAGCAGGCTCGCAATTTATTTCTGGAATTGGCCTCTACCATAGCACATACTTTAAATGTTACTAGCTGCTACATATGTGGGGGTACTAAAATGGGGGATCAATGGCCATGGACAGCACAGGAATGGAACTACTCAATCAACTATAATTTAACAGCCATGCCCAGACATCAGCCTCAGTCCAGGTGGGAACTAGATACTCCCATTGTGGCCCAATGGTGTTTGGCAAACTCACAGGGGGAGGGACCATCAATAGGGGAAACAGACTGTCTAGAAGTACATGAATGGAATCAAACCACCAATTCTTGGCAGTACTGGCCAAATAATACAAACCAATTCTGGTCCAATTATTCCTTGGAGAACATTACTGTAGCTCCTCCCAGTGTACACTGGATTTGTGGCATTATGGCTTATAGTACTCTGCCCTTGAAATGGAAAGGAGCATGTACTTTAGGTATCGTTAACCCTGCCTTCTTTATGTTACCACTTAATCAGCTCCAAGTAGTAAAAGCTGACCATTGGAAAAGTGGACAACTAAAAGCAGATTATCAGATAGGGGATTGGAGTGATGATGAGTGGCCCTCCGAACGGGTCATTCAATATTATTTCCCAGCCACTTGGGCTGCTGATGGTAGTTATGACTATCGCACCCCAATATATATGCTAAACCGCATTATCCGATTACAAGCGGTTGTAGAATTGATTGCGAATGAAACAACTCAATCTCTACATACAATAGCAATCCAGCAGAAAAAGTTTAGAGATGCAATATACCAAAATCGCCTGGCCCTAGATTTCCTCTTAGCCACTGAAGGGGGAGTGTGTACAAAATTCAACTTTACAAGTTGCTGTCTAGAATTCGATGATATTGGTGAAATCATTGAACAAAGTGCTAGATGTATAGAAAACATTGCGCATGTACCTGTTCACAAATGGAATTGGTTTGAATTTGGCAAGATATTTGGATCTTGGTTCCCTAAATTACTTGGCCTCCAAGCCATAGTTGCATTCATTGGAATGATAGCAGCAGGATGTGTTATTCTACCATGTATTCTCCCCATCTTTGTGCGAGTCATTTCCAACAGTCTTTCTATGCTGGTAGAAAAAAAGGCTGCAGATAAGGCCATGTTTTTGTGGGAATATGAGAAATTGAACACAATAGAAGATATCCCTCACATCTATGAAACTTCACAATAATCTAAGGATTTAAGTAAAGTTTCAAAGGGGGGAATTAAGCAGGGTGGAAAATTACCAGAAAAGTATTCTTATCATTAGCAGAAGTTCCTTAGCTTATATCGCAGACATTATAGACGTTGCTTAATATAATATTGTGAAAATCAGGAAATCTGCTGAATCTAAGTTTAAGTATTATGACCTATGAACTAGATATTTTCTGTAAACAGCTAAATGGCAAGGGTGGCAAGGGTGGGTATGGAAAATAACAGATGGTGTAAGATAAGTACGTATATGCTGAATTGTGCAAAATGACTAATTAGACTTACTTCCCCCTTTTGTAGTACATATGTTATGGTATAGCCTGATACGAAAAAACATTCTGGGAAAAGCTGAGATTGTGAGCTGCATAAAAGCAACTCCTCAGGAATAGCCGGGGGTTCAGAATTTGCCATGCTAATGCTCTGAACCTTTTGCGCAAATAAACCTGTATTCTTTTACCCTTCGTGGTCTTGTGTCTTGATTTGAAAGCAAGATCTGCTGCAACATACCCAATTTAGTGCTCCTCTCTCTCCAGTAGCACAAAAGCAGAAATACAAAAACTTGGTGACGTAATCAGTAGATTTCTTGAAATGGTTTGAGTTTTGAACTCATTCATATAAAAATAGTAAAATAGTATAGCAGATGATGTAAGTCTATGATACAAACCCTGCATCTAGGATAGAACTTTCAATTTAATAAAAAAAAAAAAAGCAGTTGTCAGCTTTTCAGGGGTGGGGTGGGGGAATAAATGGATTAAGTTAGCCCACCACTTTGGGTGGTCTTCTAAAATAAAAGCAGGGTTTCCATTCTTTTTGTTGGCCCAGCCAACCCTGGCTTTGTTCACTTTGTGTGAGTAGCCAATGAAACACACAGATAGTAGAAACTGGAATCCCTTCTTTTATTCCAATCAAAGAGAGAAACTTGGGGCAGATGCCACAAATCAAATGCACAAGTTTGCAATTTTAGAGCATATTTAGATAA